GTCGTCTCACCCGGAACTTAAAACGGGTCAGATTTGGATCAAGACTGGAAGACCCATATCCATAGGACATAAAACCCCAAATTGGACGGTGAAGAGACGCCGGATCTTTCGTGTGTTTTTACACTTATTTATTAATAGAAAAATTTCTAATTTTGGAGGAAATTCTTATTCATGACAATTACTTTACCAAGAATATGAACGCAGTCCTTTTTTTGAGCAATTCTACTTGCATTATTCTCTAATAATTCATTTGTTATGTAGAATCTATTTTTAACCACCGAGTCAAGTTCAGTGGTCACCAAAGAGGGTTATGTTGTAGGTGGGGGTTCAAATTCTACTCGTAACGAAAAAAATTCAAGGATTGTGTCAAGACATTCCTTTAGTCTAGTAAGGTATGTATACTTATTAATCTCTAAAAAAACAAAGTAGATTCTATTTTTATATCTGTATATACTTGTGCAGTTTTTTTTGTTGTATTCCTTCTTTTACCTTCAAAACATAAGGCAAAACAATAATATCTTCCTCTAAAAGAATAATATATACTCACCTTTACAAGTCTAAGATTTTCAACAATGTGCAATACTCTACAATCCTCCCAAAAGATCAAAAGAAAGATAAACTTACATTCATTGACATAATAAAAATCTCAAATAATTCAACATCTTTTGATTTTTTAAGAATTTTTTGTTTTTGTAAAAATTGGAGGTTTCAATTCTCCTTTTCACCCTCTTCACTTCTTAAATTTCACCCCTTCATGTTAAAAAAGTATTGAAAAAACACAGATAAAATGTGCCATTCCCACTAGTATTAACATGGAATTCAACTAAATAGGAATTATGTATCAGTCAAGATTTTGAGTTGGGAATGGATCAGATCCGGATTCAGACCCGCAACCCAATTCCTCTTTCTCCAAATCTAGAGGGCAGCAAAAGCAGTACTCAAGTGGCCCATTCCCCCCTTCCTCACTCTAAGAAAGATCTCATCTTTCATATTTTTCCCGAGATTTTCCGGGGAAATCCTGTGACCTCTCTTCACTTTCCCTCTCCAATTAAATTTCCATGGCAAATGCCTGGAAAAGAAATCAACCCACAAAAATTCTCACCCCAAAAACCATCCTCCTCTTCCTCTTAACGTCTCTCCTCCTCGTCACCTTCCTCTACCTAGCCTCCCAAATCCAAACTCCTACTCCTAAAACCATCAAAACCCTTGCTCAATTTGACCGAAAAATCAAGCCTTTTGATTGCTACAGTTCACCCCAAGCCCACCCTGTCATTGCCAACATCGTTGAAGGCCTTAAGTACCCTTTTCTTTATTCATTGTCAGACTTTGGGAATTTACCAGAAAAGCCCCACAAGAATATTGTTAGGACCCTTAAAGGAAAATCCTTTAGGAAGGCTGATATTTCAGGCACTGTGCAAGAACTATTGGAAAAATTGAAAGGCGATAAACATGGTATTTTCGTAGATGTTGGTGCTAACGTGGGAATGGCTACCTTTGCAGCTGCTGTTATGGGGATTAAAGTTTTGGCCTTTGAGCCTGTTTTTGAGAATTTGCAGAGGATTTGTGAAGGGATTTACTTCAACAGAGTTGGGGGCTTAGTTGAGGTTTTTGAAGCTGCAACTTCGGATAGATCAGGGAATATCACATTTCATAAGGTAGTATTATATACTATGATGGTTTAGTATCACTATATCCTTATGCATGTTATGGCATTCAGTTATTTGCTTTATAATGTGGTGACTCATTTAATGCTACTTTGCTTGCTTGTATTCTTTGTTTCAGTCAAAGTTCTACAACTAATCTGAATGTCTTGTGTGGTTATTACTTATTGGTAATTTTGTTAGTATCTGTGACGTGTTCGAATTTGGATCTGAAAATGCCATCTTACTAATGCTTCATTCTACCAGACGCCATTTCTTACCTTTGCATCTGATAAGCAAGAGTGTTGATTTTGTCTCCCTAACCTGAAAGACACATGGCACCTTTTCCTCTTCAGATTATTGTGAGTTAATTATATCTTACTGTGAGCCTACATATTTGGTGACAAGTTTGTAGGCATGCTCTTGTGGTTTATGCAATTAGTTGTCTTCGCTTTTATGAGGCACATTGATTGCTTGACATGTCAGCCTTGCATCTGAGCTTTGTGATCTTCATTCTTCTACTAATCTAGTAAAAGGAACCAATGAGTAATCTGATCTAGATTCAGATTTTTCGCTGTAAGATTAACCAACCGCTTCATAATATTTTAAACTTCCCATCAGAAGCCAGCAGTTCTAACATTGTACATATGACAACTGAGCATCATTATTTTAAGGTAAGAGCAGTGATATTCGTCTTGTCATTAATGGACTGATTTCCACTTTAACACATTATATAATTTTTTTTGGGTACATTATATTGGTAATACTTCTGAACAAAGTCATGAAAGCCTCAGAAGAATTTTGGATGACTGGTAAAAATAACTGTTTCTGCACTTAAATAGGTCAGTCCATATATTTTCATAACATTTAAGTGTCAAAGTCACATGAACTTGGAGAATGCACTAGTAGTCTGAAGTCATCTTCTGGACTCCTAATTATTTGCACAAACATAAGCTGTTACAGTGGATGGTTTGATCCACCTGTCTGTGGTTATGCCTCAAACTTTTAAAGCCCTATCTATTGTCAAAAGCTCATATTTTAAGCAGTAATTGGTATTTATAATATGTATAATTTGTTCATTTCTCCTTGAGCGGTTGCAGTATGTATAGTTTGTTTAGATCCCTTTGAGCTAATGTCTTGTCTACCAAAGTTTAGAAACAGTGCATGGAGAAATTCAAGTTATACATCTTTTGCTAAGCTGTTGGATCCACCACCAATGACAAGTCTTACATAGTTTTTTTTTTTTCCTTTTTCTGGGTCACATACTATAGCTCAAAGCTTTTCAGTTTCATCAACAAGAAACCTAATCAAGCTTGTCGATTCAGACATGCCTAGTTATTGTGTCAAAATCTGCAAGATGTCTTTTCCATATAGAGCCCTGAAATGCCTTCCTTGAAGACTAGTAGAGAGTAGAGACCAGCTACACAACAATTCTTATAATAGTTGGCCAATCATCATCCCGCATTGCTCAGTGATCAATATTACAGTCTGTTGATCGGTAATTCTGTTCAAAATTATGCACAATTGTTTTAAGGTATTGTAATTTTAACTGATGGTATGCAGAGCATTTTTCTTTTGATGGGCTTCTTTCTTCAAATTCTTAGGTAGGGACAGCTGTGGTGAAATATTTTATTAGTTTATGATTGGTCTACTGTGTACAAAAGCATCTTCTTGAATCCAAGGTGGTGGCAGATCCAGAGATCCAACCAAACATTAATCTGTTCTTTTTCTTTTATAGAAGTTATCCTGTATTTTGCTGGACTCGTTTTGGAATGTCTTCATCCGTGCTCAATACTTAATATTTGCTTTTGCTTTCCTGCTGCTAGTTAGTCGGCCGGCTAGACAACAGTGCAGTCTCAGCCACTGGTGCCAAAATGGCATTTAAGTCCAACGAAGAGATTGCACTTCAAATCAAGTCAATTCCACTGGATGAAGTAATTGAAGAGTCTGAGCCTGTGCTCCTGCTTAAAATAGATGTTCAGGGTTGGGAGTACCACGTACTGAAGGGTGCCTCAAAGCTGCTATCAAGAAAGAAGGGGGAAGCCCCGTACATAATATATGAGGAAGACGAGCGCTTGTTGAAAGCAAGCAATAGTAGTGCCAAAGAGATTCGGGAGTTTCTTCACAGCCTGGGCTATCATGACTGCACTCAGCATGGTACAGATGCACATTGCACAAAAACAGAATGACAAGTTGGTCCTAACCACAGGAAATTCACCATGACAGCTCAGTAAGATCGATGGTGACGTTTATCGGTTGCAAGTCATGCTTATGTGCCATGTGATTTGGTTTCAGTATGCTCTATTGCAGAGGCAAAGGAATCGACGATTGCTTCGAGCTTATTGTCAGCAATGTCTTGAGAACTACTATATCATCGGCCGAAATTTGAATTGGTTGATTGGTGATTAGTGGAAGTGATAAACCAATTCACATGCTTGGTTTCAGTTGGATACTGATTTTAACATCCAACCCGATTTGTGATCTTGTAAAGGCTGGTTATTATTCTATTCTTTTTCCAATGCATGCTGCAGCATTGCAGTTTCCACTGAATACAGTGGCTGGCTGCTTTTTGGGTTATGTGTTTTTTTCCTTCTTGGTTTGGGTTATGTGCTTTTTGGGTTACCTTTGTTTTTTTTTTGGGGGGGAGAAGGGGGGGGGGGGGGATGTCCTGTTTGGTGGAAGGAGAATGTCTCCTTGATGATTTTTGTTTTTTTTTTTTCAATGGGTCATTATCGCCTCTCAGACCTTTGAGATTTTGCATACTCATTTATGCTCTTTGAAGTTTTCTGTGTGTTTACAAGTAGGGTTGTCAATGAGTCGAGTCGAGTTTTAGCCCAATCGTCGAGTCGAGCCTTGATTTAATTTTATTGAACTTGAATTCGAGCTCAACGAAATGGCAATTTAAAACTCGAGCTTGAGTTCGAAAAAAATAAAAAATAATTATTTAAAAAAAATAAATAAAATAAATATTTTTTAATAAATAATAAAATATTAAGAATATATATATAATTTTACTATTAAAATAAAAAAAATAAAAAAAAAAATATATATATATATATATATACTCGAACTCGTGAGCTAACGAATTTAATATTTTGAACTCGAATTCGAGATTGACTCGAGCCGCTCGCGAATCGATTCGATTCGTTTGCAACCCTATTTACAAGTACGTTGTTCTGAATATAATTGAAATATATTGAAACGAGCGGTTCGATTCGTTTTGCAACCCTATTTATAAGTACGTTGTTCTGAACAGAATTGAAATATATTGTCATTTTTTTACGAACTTCAAGGTTTGAGATGTGGTAGCAAAGCTACTCGGAGCTCTTTTTTATTCTGCGCCAAGACGAGACATTCTAGTTTTGCAATTCACAGAGAGACGATTTACAAGCATTAAAGAAGGTAGCCGTGGTCCTAAGTGGATAGTACAAAGCATATCAGTATACTAGCATATGGTTTGAGTGTACGGTCAGACTAGCTATCAAGTTCAACAATGATCTCGATAAGCTTTTTTTGAATAGCATGGTTCAAAAGCAGAAAATAAGCCTAAAAGGTAGACTCAATTTGAAGCCTAGGTATCCAATAAATACCAGCAGATGTCTTGAAGGCGAAAAGAAATCTATTGTGACATGAAGTGAAATTACATGTTGCTACTGAATTATTTCCACCTTTCACAATTTTACAGGAAGACTCCTAAGGCTCATCGTTACCTTGAAAAGTCCGGGCTTAGGACTCGTCTTTGGGCGAACTAGTTTGTGAAGGGCCACACCTTTCCACCATAACATCATAGAGTTGCTTCCCATTCTGCCCACACAAACAAAAGAACAAAAGGAATTAATGCTCTGATTATATTGCTCCCAAGCTCGTGACTTGAATCCATAAATCCTCCATTTCTTGAATACTCACAAAAATAACCGGGAAAAAGTGGATTTGTCCGTCAGGTTTTGTTTGCGTCTCCTTAAAATAAACAAGGATTGGAAAATTTGGCCACCAAAGCTCCCAGTTCACAAATGTTGAGTATCTGTTACAAACAATAGGTGAGATGAGTTCTAACTTCTAACGGTTTTAAATGAACAAAAGCGGAGCAGCAGCCCTACTCACTTCCACCGATTTTTTCCGCCCACAAAAAAATTTTCACGAGACTCCTCAAGCTGCTCTCCTACTTTTACCTCCTAAAGACAAGATACGAGAGAGATGTAAATTCAAGAGGAAAATGAAGTATATTTTCCTAGGACTAATGTCGAGTTCTAGAATTCAACCCCAGCTAAAATAACGTACAAACTTGTCATATGCGGAGCACTAGCTTGCTCCAACACTCAGTATTCTTAAAGAGCTGAAAGCAACTGAATCAGAATTCAGAAGGAGAGCTAGAGAGGCATCGTGTGCCATTACTCATTAGACGAACAAGACAAATAAGTACAAGTTAAAAAGGAAGTACAGCAAGATGATCAGAAACTCAAACAAATGAGATAGGACGATGCAATGCCATATCATTAATTTGTATGTATCTAAGTTCTCTTTCCGTGAACCATAAACATAAAATAGCTGCTTGCATGTGAAAAGGGTTGAGTGAGTAAACAAACCAGGGCCTCTTCATCGAAGACAAACCTCACTCTAGTCGTCTGAAAGAAGGAAATGAAGGGTGTTGTTAGTTGACCATTTTGGCCACAGAGCAAGACAACCAACGCTATTACTCGTAGATTTTGGTGCCAAGCAGTAGAGACAGTGACTATGTCAGTCAAGCCTAATCTAAAAAAAGTCATGTTGATTACTCGTGATTGTGGGGTTTATGCAGAGGCAACTACTGTATATGGTCACCATATATACCTGGACTAATAGGAGCAACCCAAGTAGTCCTACAGGAGCTGCTCCTAACAGGTTATCTGCATAGATTAAGCCTCCAGCAAAACCTGTAAATGTCAACACAGTAAATATGAAAGGCATGATCTGTATTGAATTGTGAAGGGAATAGAAGACGAGCTGATAATGTAACCATCAACAGCAATTCGATTCCTGAGGTGAGGTGTGTAATAGTACTTTTGCTTATGGAATGAATAACGTGCTAAACTTCTATGAACCATTAACATCAGAGGATATAAGAGGATGAACACAATCTTGCAACCTCAAAGAGCCCTAAACAACATCGTGCCATAATGTTAATCACTTGTAAATTTGTTTTAGCGCCTATGACCTACCAAGAAGAACAGTAGGAATTCGGTAATCGGCCTCAGGAACTACAGTCTCTTTCTTGATTTTCTTTCCCAGCTGTCAGAACAAAATCCCATGTACTCAACACTTGAATACTCATCAATCGATTGGAATACTAATTTAACTCGTGTAACGTTATTAGAACTTTGGAATTAGAAAGGGAGAAAGAATGAAGCAGTAGAAAATATGAACCACGGCAGAGATCGCGAGACTGCTTCGGTTGCCACCACTGACACTATTATAATTCCTTCCCCTAAAACAACTGTGTCCACTTATCATTTTGCCGTAAAATGAGCTCTGGATTGTGGTTAATACATGTCTGCCCCCTCCTTTATCTGCACATAATAGAATTGAAAATACACAGTAATTCATTTCTGGACCCAAAAGAAAAATGGCTTTCAAGAACTGATGTGTAGCAGATGATGATGGGTTAACAAAAATGCTTACTTGGCATGGGGATGAAGCGAGACAGAGATAACAGAGTGCTTTCCATGTTCGCTGCTGCTTCGCTCTGCTTTCTTGGCGTCGCAAAGAGATTAACTAGAAAAAAAAAAAAAATTTTTTTTTGAATTAAGGAGTGAGAGGCGGTGCTTTCGCGGAGTTGTCATTGATGAAGAATTCCCATTGACTCTTCTGTCCCCGGTTAACTTTGGCAAAAGATTTTTCGTCATTTCCTTTGCCCTCTTTCTTTTTTTTTTTTTTTTAATACAATCGACGTACACAAAAATTTCTTAAGTTTTTTGTCATGTTGGAATATAATGAGTACATGCAGTTGAAAGTTGATTAAATTTGTAAAACAAAGAAGCTGGAGGTTCAGTAGTTCAGGACTTTTAAGACGCAAACTTTTAAAAAAATAATAATAAATAATAAATAATAAATAAATGGAATTCCCCCGACAAGGGTTCTTTTGTAATTGAGTAAAAATGGCATTGGAAGTGAAAAAAATGTAAAACCTTATCCAGTTGGCAGCTTCTGCTGCTCATGTTCGTTGCCACCAACGCTTGGCCTCACTTCATCCTCACAGCCACATTCTTCTCTTCCTGGAGTTTCTTACTCTCTCTTGACTGCCAGCACATTTGCTCATTCTTCGTCACTCGTTTTGCTTGCTGAAGAGCGAAGATTCTTTTCTTTCTGTTTTAATGTCAAATTCGTTGTGTTTCACCCCTCTCATATCTTTCAAACCCACTAATAAGCCAGGTATTCCTCTCTTCCTCTCTCTATGGTAAGACCTCTTCTTTGTAAACTGTCGAAACTTCCCTCCTCCTCCTCCTCCTTAATTGATGAGTATTCCTGGGTGTAAGCTTGCAAGATGACTCTATTAAGCGGAAAGTTGATATCTTTCGAGTTATTGTAAGCTAAATTTTTTTTTAATGTGATTTTGAATTGTTGTTAATTCTTTTTAGGCATTACACTTGGCCGGTGCAATGGTAGAAAGGTCCAGTGGATGAATGATGTGACTCACAGCTCTAAAAATGCTACTAATTTGCAAAATTTAGAGCTCAAGGTATGTGTTCATTTCGCACATTTTGGTTGTCTCAAGTTTCAATAGTCTTTTACTTCTGAACACAAGAAACAACACTACTTGCTCCAATAAACTTGCATACTACCAATTATTGGCTAATTTCTTCTTCCTGCATTTGAGTTGAAAACAGAGTTCGTTTGCTGCTATACTTTGATTTTGTGAAGAAACTCTAGGCACAAAAGTCTGATTTTTGAAGCCCCTTTACGAGCAGAGTAAATTAGCACAAGCATCCTTCTTGAGTTTTTAAATGAGCATTAGTCTTGTTAACTGCATGCTCAGAGGAGAACATAATGAGGATGGACCTTGTGCTAGGAAGCGAAGCTCTCTGCTATTTTAGCCCCTTAGACCTATTCTGCAACATGATTTTGCATGCAATGAAATGATTGTTTAGTGCATTATTTGGATTCGACAACCTATTGAATCAATGGATTTATGCATTCAACACTGGGTAACAATGCAGTTTTGTTGGTTGTTCTCTTGTTTTAAGTATTATTTACAGATCTTTCTTAGTTACCAATTGAGAGTGCCCTATAAGTCATTTCACCCTAATGCATTTTCATTTTGATTTAATAGGCAGCAGGCAGTGACCAAAGGACCAAACCAAATAGCATCGTCTGTGCTGACTGTGATGGAAATGGTAATGAAACTGATTAAAACTTTGTGACTATTTGAAGTAACTATTTATTCCTTTCAGGTTGCTACCACCTGAAGGCGTTGAATTGCATCAATTTCTTAATTCTTGTTACAGTGTTATGCAAAAAGAAAATATTTATGAGCATTTATTGGCAACTATAATTGCAAGGACCGTTTACAGTTGGACCATCTGTTACTGTATATAGTTGTTAAATGTGCCATTTGGACTCGTTCACCGACATGATGCTAATAGATGTATATCGACAAGGTCTTTGATGAACTTGAGTCACTTATGATATACTGAAATTGAAGTAATAGCCACAAAATCCTGCAAATTGTTGGTCGTAGGCCAATCTTAGTATGATTTTAACCTCCATTTCCTTGCTTAAGCAAGCAGCAGTACTTTAATAAGTTTTCCTGGTCTACATCTTATGGAGCACTGCGTTTGTTGTTTCTCTAGGTGCTATTTCATGTAAGCAATGCAAAGGTTCAGGAGTCAACTCTGTTGATCACTTCAATGGACAATTCAAGGCTGGTGGATTATGTTGGCTTTGCAGGTATGTCGTTCAAGTATCATATTCCTCAATCTTATCTTATTCAACCCAAAAACATGAAAACCCCGAGCATTGGATGCTCCCCTAGTTATCAGTGAAATAAAAGCAGTCATTTGTTACATCTACCCCTTCAGGCTAGCTCTATACTATTGATAGCCCTAGAGATTTGACTGCGACTACACCTGCTCTCCGACTGCAAAAAGAGAACAATAGCAGAAAGTGAACTCGCAACGGTCGTAAAAGATCGTCCATATTTTTCAGACACAGATAAACATGATGTAAGTAAATTAGGAAAGACAAAGAAAAGAGTATAAGATAACAATGGAAAATATGAGTAATAGATTTAGGATTGGATGAGATTGAGGAGCCACATATCCTCCATCCCACCTCCATAAAAATGTGTACTGCTATTTTCCTCCAGCTTACCACCTGTAATTCTCACAGAGTTGAGATCAGATATCCTCCCTTAAACTGGTACCTGCACCATGCATGTATTTGGTGGCCCTATACATCCTTCCTCCATTCCATCCCATGGTTTAATTAATACTTGTGAAAACCTATTGCCATTACTGTTTCCTCTTCACCGCATTCAGTTTTCCCACTGCATGCTCCATCAGGCTGTCTTTGGTCTTGAGCAACTGTGTCAACATATGGTACCCACGCCTTGTAACTTGAGATGAAACCTGTAAACCTCAAAAAGCGTTTGGTATCAGGCTGAGGAAGAGGAACCCCTATCCCCCTTTTTGTCTATCCTTATCTTTTCTGCAAAAAATTGTTGATTTGCAAGTAATGGATTGGGAGAGTGGTCTAGCTGGCTGGCGCTGACAAGGGAAGTTGTATTTTCAGGATTTTATGTCCTTCTTATGTGAGGAATGATTTAGGATAGAAATGGATTTTTGTGTTGTCCCATATTATCTTCACAGCATTGTTCACTCGCCCAAATCGAGTATTAACTGGGTTGTGCTCTTCCGTAACTACTTTTGCAGAGGTAAAAAGCAGATTTTGTGCGGCAACTGTAATGGTGCTGGCTTTATTGGCGGAATCATGAGCACTTTCGACGAGTAGTGTTTTCCAGTCGTTGGTCTTAAAGTGTTAGATGCCTCCTGTCCTGTTGGTGGAGAAGAAAGAAAAGCCTCCAACCAAAATATTTGGTTTTGACTAAAACACTATGCTGTTTTTTTTTGTTTTTTTTTTTTCATTTGATTGTTCATATACACTGATAGCAGCAGGTTAAAAAGTCTGAATGTCTGATAATAAGACTTCCAAGGGGTTAAAACATCTGTTAAACGCGCCAGGTAGGGGTCGAACCTACGACTTTCTGCTTAGGAAACAGACGCTCTATCCACTGAGCTACCGGCGCGTTGCGTACCCGCTCAATGACGGGATCAAATAGATGCTGATAACACTTCTTTTTTGGTGGTTTAAAGATGCCGATCACCTTATTTGTCACGCAAAGGAAAACCAATTTGATCCTGAAATGCCCACGAGAGCAGAAGTCACTAAAACTATAACGATACGAAGAAAGCAATTTGCCCTGGGCATCCCAGACATGGGGCAGAAAGTATACCAAAAATCCATCCATATTCCATGCCATAATACAATACAATACAAAATCTCACAAAAGAAGTACTTAGTATTTCATTCTGCAAAAGCCAACGGTAAAAACGATGTTTCACAGGGCAAGACAGGTGGGAATGTTTGAAATTTGTTACATAAGCAGGGCAGCAGATCCCCCATTACAATGGTTGAAACCAAACCAAACTCCATCAGGCAGAAATGTGTTGTAATTGAAGGTAATTGCCCTCCCATCAGGAACGTACACCTTCACGCTCTCCGGCTCCCAACCGTCCGACCCTACCCTCAGCAAGTAGAGATAACAGATGTCGTAGGTGCAGGGTCCCCGTATCCTAAATGTGTCCGTGGAGCACCTCTCGAAGGTCCTCGATGAGGGATCGTCCAATCTCGCTGCATACACCTACCCGAAAAAAAAAACAATAACATCATCAATTTTTCATCAAATTCAAGAAAAAAAAGAAAGTGGGATTTGTTTTAGATGTAGATTTTTTTTATGCAGACTAGCTAAAATTGCAGCATCTACCAAAAAGATATGTCCTTTTTAACAAGTTATGATTTTTTTTTTTTTTTTGTTTTTGGTGTTTGTGTGCTGGGGGGTGGGGGGGGGGGGTTGTTGGTTGTCACTGACTGGACTGATTGACTGACCTCATTGCCATAGGCATCACCGAATGCAAGACTGACTCTGTCTCTGGTGTAAGATGAAGAAGAACAGCTGGTCTTGATGGTCACGGTGTAGGAACAGCTCCTTGCACTTGCAGCGCTCTACCAACCAAGTCAACAATTAATAAAATTCTGTTATGAGAAAAATGGGTTTGATCGGAATTACAGGAAATTTTCATTACTTGGTGCGGGGGTCGGGGGAATTTAAAGATTTTTAGATTACCTGGTTGGGTTTGATCTCGAAGGATTTGAGCAGATGAGGGAGGAGTGTTGACGTCGGAGGAGGAAGGGATCTTGCCTCAGAAATGGTGATCACAACAGCTAGGAATGAGGCAAAGAGGAGAAGCAAATCTGGGGGCGGTTTGGCCATTTCCGGGGGATTATTGCTTTGTCAATTACGTACTGGTTATCTTCTACCTGCGGACTGGAGCAGACCAGAGTGATGAGGGTGCAGCTACGTAACGCAGCTGCCTTATAATAATAATAATTCAACTCTCAAATCTCCCTACTAGTAGTAGCAGAGTGGATCGTGGCACTGTCATTCTTAAATTATTTTACTAGTAGCAGGTTTGGTAAATTCTTTGATTTGAACCATTTTCACAAGTAAATATGGCGCCCCTACATGGCACTGGACGCCAAATCCACAGGGCATTTGGAATTAGCTAAAGAAAATACAAAAACAACAGGTAATGACTTCAAAGATTCTTGAGAAAACTGGCAATGGTGCGCACAGCCACTGGACCTTGTGTAAAGAAGAACATATTCTTCATTCCCCGAAAGAAACAAAGGTAACCATAGGTCGGCTATTGGCCGCCACCAAAATGTTTGGACTGTGATTTTTCGCAAGAAAACTTTTACCTTTTTTTGTGAATATATATATATTTTTTATCTGGTACATATCAAATTATTATTATTATTTTATCTTATACATATTAAATTACTACAGTACATTTTTCTATAAAATCTTCAGAAAATAATAATTCAAATAGAGTCAAAAGTGAGAAGTTAATGGTCCAAAAGCTGCCTTCCATTATTGTGCCACTAACACGGGACTTCTCCTGTTACATGTTTTGCCTCTTTCACGCTTATTTCATGATACGATTGAGCACGAGACCCAAAGTGTACAAGTAGACCCTGTGAAAGTGCCCCTAGGCCCGGTGACACGAGCACGAGCTAAGAGATTCAAGGAGTCCCTCCAAGCCTTGGTACGTGCCATCCAAATCCAAGAGAAACCGGCCATTGAAGGAATTGAGTTGGAATATCCTTGCACGACTACTAAAATGCTGCTTACAATTGAAGATGCAAGTGTTCAAGCTCCAAATAACGGGCCAAGCTGCAGTTAAATACCCTCGCTGAGCCGTACGGGGATCTCGCTGCCCGGTCAGCGAGTCGGGGGTCCAAGGGGGCGACGCGCCCCTGGCTTGGGGGCCCGGGGCCGCAGCGAAGCCCCCGGTGGGGGTTCGGGGGCAACGCCCCCGACGCTTAAGATCTATAGTTAGTTGGGCTAGCTTTCGGTCAAGTGGAGGCCCAAGGGCCTGGCCGAACTTTCCTTGTTATCTTTCCAGTTTATTAGGTCTTAGTCACGGCTATTAATAGCCTCAAGCCGCATGTTACATTCAGTTTTTGAGAGTATTGAATAAAATTTCCAGAATTTCGTCCATTCCTTGTGGTAAATTCCCTTAGCTTGTGAAAGCTAAGTTGAACATCCTAGAGTTGATCCTAGGCTGTTCTTGACTTATCAATCAAGCACACATACTTGATTGTGGCGTCCTCTACCGTTAAATCTGTTCTTGAGTGGTCCAAGTTCAGGTTCAACTCCATCCAATCTTCATCGTGTTCCTCTAGATCCGAAGTTGCTTCCGCGTCTCGCATCATTTCAGAGGAAGCAAAGTAATATGCAATTGCAAGCACCATTTTTATTTATTTCGTCATCAAGTAAAATGACAAAAAGAAGACGCAAGATAAGACAACATCTGATACAATATTACAAATGTATAACCAAGTATGCAGCAGTGTCTTATTGCTAATTTATTACGGACTAAAAGCCTTATTCAAAGAAGGTTAGCTCGTAGCTGCCCTTAGTTAGCACCCCCACTTTTCCCAAAACTAAATGCAGTCCACTAACAAAGAAAAGGATCTACTTTTGCCAGACAGCATATCTGGTGCCGCTAGCTGCAAGCGTCCACTCCCTCCCAGCTGGGCACCATGACCCATCTCCAATCTTCATGCATATTTTCTCACCAATCATTGCAGCATACAAGTTTGGCTGTGCCGTAAGGATTTCTATCGAGGATCGGCTATGTATGCCTTGAAACCGTCGAATCTCCATCAGCTTCACGATTTGGTCATGAATGGAATTTCCCCAATCATAAAAATGGTCATAAAATACTGATGGAATCCCTGGATGTGTGAGTATATAGGCGTAACCCTCCATAATATGACTAGCAGGGAAAGGCCAGTGAGCCTGAGTTGACCCTGTGTCATGGTTATCAATGAAAGTGACAGCCCTTGATGGCCACCATCCCATAACACCTGGTGGTTTCCCTTGAGAGTCACGGAGGCGCCAGAGTTCTCCTTTCACGGCTCCCTGGAGAATTCCCTTCGTTGTAAAGTCAAAAGCAGTAGGCAGTTGCCCTGTACCATCAATCCAATTGATAATTCTTTGCCTGTGACTGTCTTGGTTGTAGTCCAAGTTACAGCCATTGTAGTTGCAACTATCCCAGTATTCGCCAACAGAAAATATTGGCTTCGCACCTTCAATGTATTCCCTCACATATTTTGGTGAATAGCCTCTAACAAAATCGAAGCGAAAGTCCTGGAAACCAACATCGTAGCGAAGCCACCGTAGCCAGTCAGTGATATCTTTCCGAACAAAGTGTTGAGTATGATCAACATTTGGAAAACCAGGAAAGTTATCCCCTGTGCTCCTATTACCCCGGCCCCCAGTACATGATGTAACTGCACGTTCATCCCATGCTAATGGAATCCCATCAAAACGGTTATACGTTCCACCATGCCCCTGGGTAGTCCCAACTCGGTGATTTATCACTATGTCAGCCATTGCCCTCACTTTGTACTGTTTCATCTTACTAAGTAAAGCTTTTAAGACATATTCAGAACCATATGCAGAATTCAAAGAATAAAGGTTCTGTGGAGTATACCCCTGAGGTGCGAATGAATGAGTTGGCGGAGGCAACCAAGCTGATGTGAAGCCAGATTTTGCAATATCAGGAACTTTCTTCTCTAAGTTTCTCCACCAGTCATGTTTATGAGACTCCCAGTTGAAGGCCTGCAATAAAATTTCTCTCCCGTTGCGTAGCACTGCCGCAGGATCCGTCTGCTGCACATTCTCATCCGATCCACTGTTGAGGTAACCCATATCTTAAAGATGGGAAGATTAACAGATATCTGAAGTTGGTTGAGAAAATGCTCAAGAGCTTAGGGGTTCTGAAGAAGCCAATTGCAGCTGACTTTATAAATCGGCACTCTTGCCTCTGCACATATATATATATATATATGTGTTGTACTTCGTCCAGAGTGCACCTGGAAAGTAAACGCACGAGAATGGGATTTGATTCTTTTGGAAGCAGAATACAAAATTTGCAGCCACAAAAAGGAAGCACTGAAAAAAGTAGCTACAGATTTCCTTTGTTAATCGTTGGTGGAATGGGGCTGCAAGAAAGAAAGAATGTGGTCGCCGCCAAGCAATGAGAGGACCAATAAAATTTGTAATGACCACGGATGCCAATTTCAATTTTAGTTATTCTAAATCTCATGGCTGTTCAGCAAAGTAGGAAGTTCTGATTCCATGGTACGGGCAAAAGGGAATCGATTTTTGAATTCTGATTCTTGTATCTGTTTGAATCGGTGGACTTGAACCTAACAAAGAATTTCTAATGGACAGATTTAAAATCTTCGGAAAGTGCTTAACATGGTTGGAAATTAATGAAATTCAACAAGTGATTTAGAAATGCATGGTCTAAAACATGCCCCTTACAGCGTTTTCATCTCCCTATGACCGACCAGCAGAATGATTCAAACATATACACAAACAGCTCATGCGCATCCCGTATAGATTTCATTCATTGAAATTAAAAAAAACACACACACACAGAGGGTTTTGGAATAAACAAGAAATGATGATATCAAAGGCAGGACCATCCGTGTCCCAGAGGGCTACCGCGAAACTCTTCGAATTAGGCAACGATATAGAAGGGCAGACCACAGCAATCCACCGGAATTAGTCTTGCACTTATCCAAATCCAGTTAAATCCACCAATCCAAATACAGCCTTAGGGAACTGTTCTGGGCAGGAATGGTCGTTTTGTTTAGCGAACACAGAAGAGGGATTACGAAAGTTTTTCCCAACTGGCAAAGTTGAGAATCGAAATCTACATTCTGCGCTTTAAGTCAATTCGTGAGTTTGAGTGATCTGATCATCCATCAGCTTTTATGCGTCGGCCATTGGGGCAAATAGATGGTCAACGACACATGGACGGCAACCGTTCTTCAGCCAATTGAGATTCGAGTTTGAGTCGGTTGGAATACGCGGGATTCCGGTCTTGTTCGTGTTTACAAATGAATAGTTTAAGAGAATCTTCTGAAAGTGTCCAGCTCATCCACAACACGTAGACAGATCTTCGGGTAAAGACAACTCTAGACATCTCCCTGAATTTTGGAGTGGAGTTTTAGGGAGGTTTTTGTAGGAAAAAAAAAATTCATCACGTAAGGTTAAAAAAAAAAAGGATAATTAAAATATATGTTAAAATATATTCCCAAAAAAAAATATTATTCCTAGAGACCTCCCAGTCCGAACGGAGTGGCACAGAATTTCTGCCAAACCTGCCTTTAGCATCAATGCAAAATAAATCTCATCTCAACTCGGTCCTTCGTAGTTGGATTGAGAATAATAATATCACGGCTGAATGCTCAAAACCCTCCATGCATAAGGCCCACAACGAACCCGATTCCTCTCTCACACGGACCCAATAGAACACGAGAAAAGCGCAGCATCATAGCCCAAGAACGGGACAAACCCAATTTCCAAAAGATTTCATTCAAAGCAAAGAGGAAAAAGCCCTGTAGCGATGCCAGCAGTCTGCGACCAATGCAAAAAGAAGTGTGAAGTATGCATGTGTTTAACTTTAACACCCCTTTCTTCACATCACATTCACAGAGAAGGGGAGATTTGATAGAAGAGTCAGTGAAGCATAATAACATCACAATGAGTGCGAGTTCAGAATGATATTAACAAACTAGTAGAGCTTGCGCCCTCTCTATTATACAAACTTTATCATGACAATATCAAGCGGAGGATACCCCCTGAAAACTTGAATGATTTCTCGGTCTCTTCCAAGCAATGGTTCTTCTCCTCTCTAGTCCAGCTCTGAATAAAATCGAAAAACAAAATGTGTATCAGATAGCAGATGTATCGTATAATCCACCACCGATCACAAGCTTAGAGACATTAATACTTGCATAACCAAAACACAACAATAGGAGGAAGTAGGCCTCAGGTGAAGTTACCTCAGCAACTCTATTTAGCTTGTCCCTCACATTCTGTAACAATTGTGAGAGATCACCATCCCATTTGTAGAATTCCAACTCCTCCTTGTTGAGTATCTTCTCAGCTACCTGAAGAGAGAAAAGAATCGACTTCATTACCAGACTCATGCACATTTATCTAACCTTTGTAGCCATTGCAACCAACCACATCAGTATCTCGTTTCAATGTTGCCCTCCTTTGCAGGAGGGAGAGATGACATTAAAAAAGTATCACAGAAATTTTAATTGCAATTTTATATGACTTGCATCCTCAGTCAACAATCATGAGCCTGTACCTACAGAAGGTACAGCATTTCAATCACTGTCCCCCAAAGCTTAGTCACCCTCACTCCCCTTGCTCAGGGAAGAATCAAATGTATCAACCAAGCATGAAAGTAGGGGTTGGGGAAAAAAGGAAAAAGCACCAAGTTATACCAGACACATTAGAATAGCCACTCCTAATTTTTTCCAGATTTATTCTCAAGTATAATGGCCAAAATATCTCATCAGTCAGTCTTAGAATAATAGGGTGAGCTAACATTTCTTACAACTAAGTTACAGGTCCCAGATAGCGGAGAAAGTTTAGAAGTAAGCCAACTAATTGCTCACCTTCTTTCCAATCATCCGCCCACCAGCTGTATGGGCGAAGTATATGTTGTAGAAGTGACAAATAAATGCTTGAGGATCCTTTTCTGATAACTCTTCAAGATACCGAGCATACTCAACTCCAGGTGTAGATGGTTCTGGGATGGCATGACCTTGCTCCTTGAACCATTCCAAATCCTTTGCAAGACGCTCTGACCTTTCCAATCCTGTGTTCCTGAACTCTGCATCTGGATAGCAAACAAGAAAACTATTTAACAGTTTAACCATGATGGTGTTGCACATTCATCAAAAGTCAATCTCCAAATAAGGCATAAAGTTCTTGAGAAGACAAAGCAACTTAACATAATCTCATTTTATAGCTTAGATCGTAACAATTTCTGACTAAATTTTGCACCAACCATCCATCTTTGTGAACCATAATTGCACCCTCTGGTTTTTCCTGACACTTAAAATTGTGAATTGGTGAGTGTCATCACGTTCCCTACTCTTCATGAAGCCCCAAAATCACACGTCCCGAACATACATTGTAGCTACTTTTAATTCCAATGGACAAAACTGAACTTCTGTGCAGCATGTAATGGATATATCTGAATTGTAGTCGTCGAGTAACAAAAGCAGAGCTATCGTACGCTAACATTTTTATCCGATGTCATCCTTCAGCCTTAAAAGCTATGACTCAATTAACTCACCAGGACGTGAACGAAAGTAGAAACTAGATTTACATCCCAACAAATGCAGGGGTAACATTACGCAGGAAAAGCCTGGCAAAAGATTTTCATCTGACAAAGATAACGATCTTCCGCAATGGCACCCCACAAAAAATGCAGAATAAGTAGACCCCCAAATTGCATGCTTCTAAATCAAGAATCACAATTCTGCCCAACGGAACATCTCAATCGACGGCCACTCAAACACAATAGGAAAAGATACTACGAGCACAACTTATACTCAGTCAAAAGACGGGGGGCATTCCTGATCAATTCAATGAAACAAATAGATAGAAGAAGAGAGTTGTAAAGATTACTCACATTCAGGAAAAGAAGATATCTCCACAATCTTCTCCAGGGTATCATAAACCAATTTACTATCCACCAAAAACTTCAAATACCCCTGGATAGTGGGCTCCCATTTAGCCACAGGCTGCCCCCGGGGCTCCTTCTCGCCCTCCTTGGCCTGGTCTTTCGTATGCAATTTCATAGCCACAAACCTCATCTCCTCCACAAACCCCTTAGCCTCGCCAGGGTACCTCTTCTTATGCTTCTCAGCGGCTGAAGCAGTGCCAGCAGAAGCCGCCGCCAGCAACACCATCCTCGAATTTCTAGCAAAAAGCTTTGATCTTTGAGAAAGTTCCGGGATGGGTTTAGCGAGAATTTGGGATTGAGATGCTTTAAGCACTCCACTTTCTGGTTTCTTGAGAAGAAACTGGGATTGAGAAATAGGTGTTGTTATGGAAGCCATCACAAGAAAGAGAAAGAGTATTTTATAAGATAGTCCTGCTTTGCTTGCTGGGCTAGAACACAGTAAGGGGTGGAGTGTTGGTTGCTAAGAAGAAAAGCTCACAAAATTCCTTTATGCTATTGTTTTGGATAATTCGATAAGTTTCAAAAATTTTGGATTGTAATAGGTGCTGAAGTAATCTTGAAGACTAAGCTTTAAACAGTGGACAGAAATAAAATAAGTATAGAATTGGTAATTATTGGCCTGAGAGTGGGAAGTTAGTAAAGAATTATTTTTTGGGGGAATGGGCCTCCCTGCCTGGCTCTGCAGACAATACTCTCTATTTGTCTATGGAGTGCAAGCAAGTTTGCAGATACGCTGCGCCGAGAGCTTTTTATTTACGTCAGGGATAGGTTGGAGAGAAGATTTGTTTATTTATGAGGGCAATGTCTCGTGACGGCAGAGGCATTGGAATTTGCCAACAATCTGGAGAGGGACGACGATGGCGTCTGGATTTGCAGGAACGTGTGGCTCTTGGGGTGTAATTAGTGACGTGGGACCCCATCAAAGGATTAAAATATTGTATGTGTTTGCCAAAAATATACTACTACTACATAGTACTTAATTAGCGGACAAAATTAAAAAGCTTTTTGGCCTTATTGGTTTTGGCAATTGGGGAATGGTTGGGATGATCATGAACCCTGACCTCGTGGCCATCGACTTCCCACATAGTAGTAGTATTTGTTGCGTAATTTTCTTTGCTTTCCTCCACTGTATTTCCGTGAACCCTTTCACCTGCAGGGGTTCTCACGTACACCCATAATCCGACATGGATTTAAAAGACAAGGAAAAAAGAAAACAAGCAGTAAAAGGTAAAAAATACTCCACAAATTTCTAGAGAAATGCTCGGTTAATGAATGTAATAAATGAAACGGAGGAGTAAAATCAATCAAGCAATGAATGTAAATGCATTCATTCATCTAATAATTACAAGTAATTAAAGTGTGCACTCTGAATTGGGCTCGAATCAGACGTGCATGATGAAGAATTCAGGAGCGGGATGAGCCTGGATTGACCAGAATGGATTTGTTTACTTGGGCTAAGAATCAGATGGGTCGGGTCGGGCTGTTCCAAAAATGAGCCCATGCTCAGCATTGTTGAGTTGATAAATGCCTTCTAAGTTGGCAGTGAATTGGAGGTGTCAAAGTCACAGCTTGAATTTTATTTTCACAACAATTTATGGATAAAATGCAAAAATTATCCTTTCAAATTCAAATGCAATTTAGTCTTAAACTTAAAAAGGGGTAGTTTTGTTATTTTAACAAAAAAATTTCTGAAATATGATTGATTTGCCTCCCATGTTTGCTTATTCCTTGTGCATTTCATAATGAAAAAGAGCATACAATCAGTCATTATTGAATAATTTCTGTTTTCGCTTGCTGCCTAGCTAAAGTCCTAAAACTCATTATATTGAATAGTTCCTTTTTTCGCTTGAAGTCTAGCCCCCCCCCCCCTCCCCTGCCCCCCCTTTTTTTATTTTTTATTTTTTATTTTTTGCCTTTAAGTCAAGATAAAGTCAGTTCCCAAGATCAAAATAGAATCATTAGTTGAGTGAGTATAAGATCCCTAATTCGACCATCATGTTATGAAATAACAAAAATGTGGATGTCCCTTTGTATTCCCAAGAGGATTAATTCATGATTTTATGGCTACTTATGTATGGAAGTTACAATTCATAAATCCATTCATGTAGTGGAGAAACCGTTTCATAGGTTTCTTCATATTATTGTAATAGTGGATGGTTAATAGGATTTATGTACCTTTAATCTTGTAGTGCCTATATATAGAGGTACATTGAAACCC